GAGCGGTACAGCTGACACGTACTATCTGATATGAGAAGAAAGATATTCGCAGTCCGAGGAGTCGCTGCTACCGCATTACGTGCTTGGTTCATGAGGTGCTACAATTCCCACGTTCTGCCGAACAAAGCTACGCAGACGTAGGAATGGGCTGCTGCGACGCAATTTTACACCACTTTTACACCACTTTGCGTACCGTACTCCTCAGCTCACGCCTAATTTTAATGATTTCTTTCGCGCTAACCACTTTTTTATGATTTCTTTCGAGATATCCATTTTAATAATGATTTCTTTCGTACTACATTTTAATGATTTCTTTCGTGACAGATATTCCATATTCTTCGGCACACGGTAAGCGCGTCATCTCTTCTGGCCACGTAGTGGCATCAACAGATATTTCTGATTCTTCGGCACACGGTAAGCGCTTCTCACACTTTTCATTTATAGCCGCCTTCCGTCCTATGTTCTATGCGACGCCCTTTTTAGGTAGTGCACTCCCCGGTAACGAGGTGGCACCTCCGATTTCTTCACACGTCGAGCCCGCCCGCTCGCTTTGCCACGTAGTGGCATCAATAGATCTCTCCTATTTTTCGGCACACGGTAAGCGCGTCTCACACTTTTCGTTTATAGCCGCCTTCCGTAATATGTTCTGTGCGACGCCCTTTTTAGGTAGTGCACTGCCCGGTAACGAGTGGCACTTCCGATTTCTTCACAAGTCGAACCCGCCCGTTCGCTTTGCCACGTAGTGGCATCAATAGATCTCTCCTATTTTTCGGCACACGGTAAGCGCGTCTCACACTTTTCGTTTATAGCCGCCTTCCGTCCTATGTTCTATGCGACGCCCTTTTTAGGTAGTGCACTCCCCGGTAACGAGGTGGCACCTCCGATTTCTTCACACGTCGAGCCCGCCCGCTCGCTTGGCCACGTAGTGGCATCAACAGATCTTTCTGATTCTTCGGCACACGGTAAGCGCTTCTCACACTTTTCATTTATAGCCGCCTTCCGTCCTATGTTCTATGCGACGCCCTTTTTAGGTAGTGCACTCCCCGGTAACGAGTGGCACCTCCGATTTCTTCACAAGTCGAACCCGCCCGTTCGCTTTGCCACGTAGTGGCATCAATAGATCTCTCCTATTTTTCGGCACACGGTAAGCGCGTCTCACACTTTTCATTTATAGCCGCCTTCCGTCCTATGTTCTATGCGACGCCCTTTTTAGGTAGTGCACTCCCCGGTAACGAGGTGGCACCTCCGATTTCTTCACACGTCGAGCCCGCCCGCTCGCTTGGCCACGTAGTGGCATCAACAGATATTTCTGATTCTTCGGCACACGGTAAGCGCTTCTCACACTTTTCATTTATAGCCGCCTTCCGTCCTATGTTCTATGCGACGCCCTTTTTAGGTAGTGCACTCCCCGGTAACGAGGTGGCACCTCCGATTTCTTCACACGTCGAGCCCGCCCGCTCGCTTGGCCACGTAGTGGCATCAACAGATATTTCTGATTCTTCGGCACACGGTAAGCGCTTCTCACACTTTTCATTTATAGCCGCCTTCCGTCCTATGTTCTATGCGACGCCCTTTTTAGGTAGTGCACTCCCCGGTAACGAGGTGGCACCTCCGATTTCTTCACACGTCGAGCCCGCCCGCTCGCTTGGCCACGTAGTGGCATCAACAGATATTTCTGATTCTTCGGCACACGGTAAGCGCTTCTCACACTTTTCATTTATAGCTGCCTTCCGTCGGGTGCGTGCACTTAGATACCCGGGTGGGCGTGGCCACAGAGGCAAGGCTTCGAAATGGACCGGTGTTTCCCAAATTTGTGCTGCAATAGATATTAGACGGGAGCACCGTTTACAAGGTAAACGTTCCTATTGTCTTCAAGGTGTGCTTAATGTTGATTTCATGATCATACGTAAGACCTGATAACCACTTTTTCGCCTCTGCCTAATGTATACCTTTGCAAAAAGCATAAATTCCAATCTAAGTTAATTCTTCCTCTCGGAACTTCTTAGTTCAAGCAGTAGAAACACACAGCTGTTTAATAAGAAGGAAATTATCGTCTCCAAGCTCAGGAAGAAGCGCTGAAGCCTAATTATATCCGTCCACGTCAAGCCCTCGCCCTATTTTGGCCACGCCCACCGGGTATCTAAGTCACGTAGCCGCCTTCCGTGCTATGTTCTGTGCGACGCCCTTTTTAGGTAGTGCACTCCCCGGTAACGAGGTGGCACCTCCGAATTCTTTCGCGGCTAACCATTTCAATGATATCACGAAAGAAATCATTAAAATGGATATCACGAAAGAAATCATTAAAATGGATAGTACGAAAGAAATCATTAACATGGTTAGCGCGAAAGAAATCATCAAAATTAGGCGTGAGTGGATAGAACGAAAAAAATCATCAGGATCTCACGAAAGAAATCATAAAAAAGGTGGTAAGCGCGAAAGGAATCACAAAAGTGGTTAGCGCGAAAGAAATCATTAAAATTAGGCGTGAGCTGAGGAGTACGGTACGCAAAGTGGTGTAAAAGTGGTGTAAAATTGCGTCGCAGCAGCCCATTCCTACGTCTGCGTAGCTTTGTTCCGTTCTGCCGCCTCAAGCACTGCCCGCATGATGTACGTTTCACCGCGCTAACTCATCCGCTTGGCACGAATGGGACAATTAACCGTGCGCACCCGAGCTTGGGGAGGGGAGGGACCCACTCCTACAGCGGGTTGGGCAACGGTAGCAGCCTTTCACCGGTGGCACCGTCACCAGACGCATGTATGATTTCTCAGTCAGACAGTTCACTTCTCTGCCGGTACCGCTAGCATAGAACCATTTAGGTGAATTTTCGCAGTTTTAACTGTTGAGCATTGTTAACTGGCTACCCAGTTTAAAGACAGTCCGCACGATAATTTGGTATTGTGTCCAAATGGTAGCAGGGCAGGTAAGTAGTGGAAAAGTGGCCAAAAAACTAAGTGAAACGGTCAAAAACGTGCAAAAAAGCCCTCCTTCGACCCGACTCAGAGATCAGTTCCGGACAAGTTCCCCGTGGGTACGGTGCCAAAACCGGTGCGGAAGATACGGCTGCGTATGCACTCATCACCCATGCAGCGCCACAGCCGCCCAGCCATTAGTCCCTTTGCCTAATACAGTACTTTGCAAATGAAGCAATACAGCATCAGGTACGGTCGTCCATTTGTGGGCGGGCGGGCGCGGTGGGCGTCCGGGTCGGTATGTTGCAGCTTGATAGGGTCTTATAAGGGCACCTTTGTTGGAAGAGGCGCTACGCAGCGTCTGCTCATGGGCACAGAATTCAGTCGTGCTGAGCGTATCAATCTCCTACATGGGTTGGAGACTTATCGCGCTAACTACCTTTAATCATGGAAGCCATGAAATTCATGAAAGTGATCATGAAGTGTAACTGAATGCACCGTATCATGTCAGAATGTTGATGTAATGATATCATGTCACGCTAATTATTCCTTCGCGAAAAAGCGGTGTTTTTTATTTGCTGAGAAAGTCCGACCAATAAGTTCTCCAGAACTTCAGATTGACTGGGTCAAGTTCCACTTTCCAGGGATTGAATGACACCATAGCAAGGGTATTTCTAGAAGCATCTCATTTACGAAGAAGACTTCCTATAGGAGCCATGTAGTATCATTTTGGCCTACTACTCTGGGGATCTCGATCTCAATGATAATCATACGACTCGAAAAAAATTATTTATAGTTTCAAAACACGAGTGATTAGTTGAGATCCAAACTGCTTTTTCGCGATTTCTTTTGCAATTTCATCTGAATTCACGTTCATATAATTAGCATTTTCTTACGGCTGATTTCGATGTTATTTCGATCACGGTTGCGTTGCGACGCCCAATACCATTAAAGTGTCAACACCCCTGTTGGTGAAAGTTCGAACCAACATATTGAGACCTTTTTTCCCATATCCGTTCCTAGGAGATCAACAACTGCCATGTGCAATCTCCAATTTCCGAGACCACCTACTTTTCGACCCTACAAAGGCAGCGAAATGACCTAAAAACTTCTTTTGAGGTTCTTCGGATACATGACCTGAAATCTATTAATCTTATTTAAGATAGTCACGATTGCTACTTCAGATTCAAACCGATAAGTTTGACCAAGCTACAAAACCGTGAATACACTTTAGGAATGGAACAGGGAAGGCAGAGAGGACGACCTAGGATTCACGAGAGTGACACTGCACGCCAGCGCAGCCGACGATTGCATGAAACTGATGAAGAGAGATCCACCCGCTTGGAGTCAGAATCCCTTCGTCAGCGGCGTAGACGTCTGACTGAGGATACTCAATCCAGGAATGCTAGGCAACGTGCAGATGCTGAACGACACCAGTCATTGCGTCAAATTGAAAGTGCGGAAGAACGAAGTGCGAGATTAGCTGAAGATGCCCAACGCCATCGAGTGAGACGTGCTTTACAGACCGATGACCAGCGAATCCATAGTCGACTAGAACACGCTCAACGACAGTCCCTGCGACGTAGCCTAGAAAGTTCCGAGGAAAGTTCAGCTCGACGTGAGAATAACGCGGAACGTCAGCGTCGCAGCCGAGAGGCTGAAAGCCTCCCAAGAGCGGACCACGCGTCAGAGAGAAAACGCTCAACGTCAACGAAACAGACGCGAATTAGAAACCCCCGAAGAACACTCCACTCGGCGTGCGGAAAACGCACAACGTCAACGAAACAGACGCGAATTAGAAACCCCCGAAGAACACTCCACTCGGCGTGCGGAAAACGCTGAACGTCAGCGTCGCAGACGACAAGCAGAAGATACCGAACAGCGAACCACCCGGCAAGTGGAAAATTCTCAGCGACAGCGCTTTGAGACGTAGCATAGAAAATCCCGAAGAACAGAACTGCCCGATTGCAAGCAGAAGCTTCACGTCGCCGTCAAAGGCGCATGGAACAGGCGAGCTCGCTGGAATAGCGTTGCGTTCACGAACGACCGAGATTCACTACCTGGGAGAGCTGAATCAAGCGTGTATGCACTGCGGAGCCCGACACTTCCTTTGCGAAGTTAAGCGAAATCACCCAGGCCTATTCCTAGAATGCTGCGATCTGGGTCGAATAGATCTGAATATGTTTGCCAGCTTTCCAGAAAGCCTTCGAGAACTTTTCATTCAAAGATCTGAGTCGACTGCAGAACACCGTCGCCTACAAAGGAACTTTCTGGAGAATATAAGAAACTTTAACTCAGCCTTAGCAATGGCTTCGATGGGAGCACAGGTAGATATTCTTCGAGGGCGTGGTCCGTACTGCTACAGGATTCACGGGCAAATCTACCACCGCATTGGCCCTCTCCATCCAAATGTTGGAGAGCGACGTCAGTATGGGCAGATCTACATTCTAGACACGGAAATGGCGGTTCAGCAACGTCTCGGAAACACGCGAAATGTTGACTGCGATCCACAACTAATGCATTTTCTCAGCGAGTTGTTGTCTAACATCAACGTGTATGCTCAGTCTTTCAAGATGATGAGCGAGGTTGAGCAGGCAGAACTTGCAGCAGCAGCTCGCGAGAACCGTGCTCCTTTGACGATACGCATGATATTCGAAGAAAGCAATGAGAGAGGATTGAGACGTCGTCAATACGACCTGCCGACAGCAAATGAAGTAGCAGTTGTTACGTTGGAGAAGACAACGATGTCCCTGCTACACGGAGCTTCGCTGTCCATCTGCGGAACGCTTCTGGAGAACAGCTTATGAATATTCGTGATATCGATAAAATATGCGACCCCCTCACGTACCCTCTTCTGTTTCCAACGGGAGAAGGTGGGTGGGAACCAAGTATGAGTAACATCAACAGAGGTCGCATAACACGAAAAGAATACTATTCATATATGTTCTCGATACGAGACACGTTTAACCATATTCTCTATGCTGGAAAGCTGTTCCAACAATTTGCCGTCGATGCTTACGTGAAGATAGAGCAAAATCGGCTCAATTTCCAAAGGCGAAATCAACCTTGCCTTACGCGCCGACTCATACAGAGGCCTCCAAGATTATCTTGCCGGTGAAGACAATTCCGGCCCGCCAGGAAATCGAGTGATTTTGTCATCGTCTCATTTCGGCAGTCCGCGGTCCATGCAACAG